TATACGTTCAGCCTCTCAAGTTAGTGGGAGCAATGCATCAGCCATGGTTTAAAAATAAAGCAAGATACAGTATTTGACAATTTCTAAGACAATATTTTCATAGAAGCCTATATTTTTGTTTTCTAAAATGAGATGTCAGTTCAATGTGGTGGCCATCTTGATTTGGGCTGACTCCAAAGGTGTAATCAGCTGTAGATGTACATTCAGCGATAACTCTGAAAGTGTCTCATTTCATTGTTTTTAGTGGGGTTTATTAGAGGTTGGCAGCCAGCTTAAAGGTGCATGTGTGCACTGTCAGCAACATTGTTTTATAATTCAGAGAATAGTTCATTCTGTAGAAAGCTGCAGCTCTGAAGGGTTTCAGCTGTTCTGTGGAGCCGAAGTTTAGGCAGAGGTTCTGATGCACAAAGGTAGTCGTAAGTACGTTCAGCCTCTCCAGCTTGTGCTGATTAAAGTGGAGGGGGGAAATCAATTCCTGTCTCCATTTGAAGTGAGTAGTTGAGGGTTTTTTCCAAACCCCAGAAGGACATTTGAGCCCCTGAAATGAAAACGCCCGCTCGATGATTATGTTTGAGAAGATGCCACAGTGTCACTGTGAGGTGTGTCAGGGACTGTAACTACAGCACCATTAAAGCATCGCCACATTCAGCTTCATGTTGCAAAATGGAAAATAAACAAAAACTGCATTGAATACATTTGTATTAAATTTGTTTAACTGCACCATAAGCAGGCAATTAAAATAGGTCATTTTTTAAAGCCCATGACGCAAACCGTCATCAGACGGATGATAAACAGCCACTTGTCTTCAGACACTATATGTTCATTAGAGCAGCTGACATCCACGTCCCTAATGTTCATTTATGGGTTTAAACTAAGAGGGTCTCCACGCGTGGATAGGATGCCCACATGCATTAAAATTTGATGCTGGTCCACGGGCCAATGAGAACCCTCCAAAGCAGATTAAATATTAATACTCCAGTATCTACCCCGCGTTAAGTAATTAGGTCCCTGTCGATGGCGAGGCAGAGAAAATCAATGAGTCTCATGGTTTAATTTCTCATTTAATTGTTTGAGTTTGGAGAAAAGCTCTGGCAAAGAGAAAAAGCCTCTGATGCCAACCATCAATCATATCCACATTCGTTAATACTTTTCCAATCAGCGCAGCCACCATCTAATTGTAGCTATTACTTATTAAAAACTGCTCCATCTCAGGGAGTTTGGTCGAGGAGAGAAATGAAACAATGCAGAGAAAATGTTCCTGCAGCAGCTCTGTGTTTCACCTGAACATGAATAAATAATAATAACATCCAGCGCATTAAATGACGGCCATTTTTCATTCATTTACCTCGTTAAGTTTCAACACATTCGCTACATTGAAGTTCTTAGACATCTAAACT